TAGTAGAAACGGGTTTTCACCATGTTGGCCAGGATGGTCTCGATCTCATGATCTGCCTGCCTCAGACTCCCAAAGTGCTGGGATTACAGGTGTAAGCACCACGCCCAGCCTATTTTTTATTTTTATTTTTTGTGACCAAGTCTCACTCTGTCACCCAGGCTGGAGTGCAATGGCAAGATCTCAGCTCTCTGCAACCTCCAGCTCCTGGGTTCAAGCGATTCTCCTGCCTCAGCCTCCTGAGTAGCTGAGATTACAGACATTCACCGCCATGCCTGGCTAATTTTTTGTATTTTTAGTAGAGACGAGGTTTCTCCATGTTGGCCAGGCTGGTCTCGAACTCCTGACCTCAGGTGATCTGCCTGCCTCAGCCTCCCAAAGTGCTGGGATTATAGGTATGAGCCACCGCACCTGGCCAAAATCCTCCTTTAAAGCCCTGTTCAGGTGCCATCTCTCTCCTCCAGTTGACATGACTGTTCACTGAGTTCCACACCTCTGCACCTGGTATGTAGCCCTGATGCTATATGTTCTCTGGCATGCTGGAGATGTCATCTTCCCCCGAGTAGACCGAGTCCTCCAGGAAGACAGGAACCCATCAATGTCATGTCTAGTTTCAGTGCCCACCCTGATGCCTGACCCAAAGGGACCTCAATAAAAATAGGTATGGCCAGGCATGGTGGCTCACGCCTTGTAATCCAAGCACTTTGGAGGCCAAGGCCCGGATCACCTGAGGTCAGGAGTTCAAGACCAGCCTGACCAACATGGTGAAACCCCGTCTTTATATTAAATAAATAAATAATAAAAATAAAAGTAAGTAGATGGTTGGGCGCAGTGGCTCACGCCTGTAATCCCAGCACTTTGGGAAGCCGAGGCGGGTGGATCACGAGGTCAGGAGTTTGAGACCAGTCTGGCCAAGATGGTGAAACCCTGTCTCTACTAAAAATACAAAAATTAGTCGGGCATTGTCACAGGCACGTATAATCCCAGCTACTCGGGAGGCTGAGGCAGAGAATCACTTGAACCCAGGTGGCGGAGGTTGCAGTGAGCTGAGATTGTGCTGCTGTGCTCCAGCCTAGGTGAAGAAGCGAGATTCTGTCTCAAAAAAAAAAAAAAGGTAGGTGAATGAAATTTCCTTCATTATATCATCAACACCTGAAGGAAGCCACATATGCATCTCATCTCATCACCAGCATAGGGTGTGCACATAGTTGGCGTAAAATAAAGATTTGCTGAATGAATGAAGAGAATTTGAGAGAAAAGAGGGAGGAGAGAATGGGCTGTGGGGTGGAAGGTGAGTGTGAGGGGGAACAGGTCATGGCTGAGGATACTGTGAGATGACACTAGAGGGTGGAGCTTACCCCCGTCTCCACGGCCCCAGGCAAATAGTTCTCGCTCAGTGGACAAGGCCAGCACGTGAGAGGCCCCACAGGCCACCTGCACCATCTCATAGCCCAGCAAGTCCTCCACAATGGTGGGCTAAAGAGGAGAGGAAGTAAGGAGAGACTGGGCAAAGGGTCTAGGACTAGCCATCTGGTCTCAACACACCCTGCAGGGACAAAGCTGGAGGCTGCACATTCTCCGGAGGTGGCTGTGTCTTTAACTCTAGCCACACACACTGCCAAGTGGGCAACCACTGGGGCAGCCTGGTCTTTCTGTACTTCCCCTGACGTAGGCGGCATAGAGCAGGTGCAGCCGGGAAGCTAGAGGAACCTGTGGCTGCTGGGAACTCCCCCGTCCCCAATCTGGTGTCAGCTCTCAGATGTGGGCTCCCCATCCCCTAACTTCCCCCTCCCCAGGGTACATGTGATACCCACCTGGCTGATGTCAGTGAGGCTGCCGTGGCCTAGGCACCCATTGCTGCCGCTGCCAAAGGTCATGATGATGCCTCGGTCTGGGGAGAAGGGCCGTGAGGAAGAAGGAAGAGAAGTTAAGCAGTCATTCCAGATAGCCCTGTCCACCAGAGGGTTGCAGCAACAAAATAAAGTTGGGGACCAGGGCTGGAAAGATGGGATAGGAAGAGAGAAAGGATAGGCGTCTCTTCAAATGTATGTGACTTTGGACAAGTGACACCCTCTCTGAGCCTTAATGTCCCCACTTGTCAAATGAGGATACTATAACTGCCTTGGCAGGCCTCAAGGAGGTTGTGTAAGGAAATCTCCTCAATAGTTACTAGAAAGAGGCAATAGCTTGATGACTAGTGAAGGCATTCATTAAGTGCATGGTTTGCAAGAGAAGAGAGAAGGTGCTCTGTGGGGCCTTATAGAAGGTCCCCCCCGAGGTAGGCCCAATGGCTCACCAGTCAGGCAGGCGGTGAAGAAGTCTCCGCAGGCCACGTGCTTGATGGTCACGCCCGACTGGCCCTCCAGGAAGCGCGAGATGAACTGGGGCTGCGGCTGCTCCACTGCCCCAGGAAGGAGGGTGCCTCCGCCTGCACCTAGGGGTGGGGCCTGCAGGGGCGGGAGGATGGCAGTGCCTGGGCACCCCACCCTTGTGTGGACCTACACTTCCACTCGTCCAGGTCACCTCCCGACCGGCCTGCTCACCTCCCACAGGATGAGACGCCCAGAGCGTGTGACGCCGGCTTTCTGCGTGCGCCCAGCTGCCACCTGGACCACCTCTGTGTTGAGCATTGGCAGCCGCAGGGGAGTGCCTAGCCCGCCACCCCAGGCGTACACTGATGACAGTGGTGGTGGAATGGTTGGCCTCACAGGTCCCCGGGGGACACCTGTGGGTACAGTGCATGGGGACTATTAAACTGATGTGAACGGTGTGGCGTCCACGGGGACTGACGGCCTCTTCCCACTTACCTCTGCAGCGGACACTGGTGGTCCTGCTCCCAGTGCTGCCGGGGGTCACAGACTTCTCCACCCTGTGGGACAGATGGAGGCCTAAGGACAAAGACTCTCCTGACATTCCTACCTGCAGGGAGGGAGGACTCACCCAGGTACCCCTCTGCCCCAGGCCTCCTGTGCTCCCACTGGGTGCCCACACCCATCCGCCCAGGACCACTCGCTCTCCCTGCACAGGCCTCCGCATGCGGACGCTGCCCACGTCAGTGTGGAGGTTGAGGAGTGCACGGATGCAGAGGGGCTGTGCCATGATGTGGCTGAGTGATGGCCGCTGGGCAGGATCCAGGCTGAGTAGACTCAGGACCAGCTGGCGCAGCTCGGGGCTGTACCGGTCAGAGATGGGTGCAAAGGTGCCGCTCATGATCTTCAGCACCAGGGCTGGCAGGTTCTGTGAGGGCACCAGGTTGGGAAGTTGGCAAAGTGAGCGTAGCGCCCCCCAGCCCCAACCCCTGGTCTCCTGGGATAACAGCTTTGCCCTCAGGAGACTTCAGTCTGATGAGGTGACTTCCAGACTGCTACGGGAGTCCAACCTGGCTTTCAGTGATCCCTAGTCTCACAGGGGAGCTGCAGCTATGTCCTCAGAAACCCCAGGACGCTGGGAAAACTCAAGTTACTCCTGAGAAGGTCCCTTCGGAGAGCCACAGCCCTGCCCTCAGGAGCCCTCGGTCTAATGGGAGGCAAGACCTACTCTTAGAAATCCAGGCTGGGCATGGTGGCTCACGCCTATAATCCCAGCACTTTGGGAGGCCGAGGTGGGTAGATCACGAGGTCAAGAGATCGAGACCATCCTGGTCAACAAGGTGAAACCCCGTCTCTACTAAAAATACAAAAATTAGCTGGGCATGGTGGCGTGTGCCTGTAATCCCAGCTACTCGGGAGGCTGAGGCAGGAGAATTGCTTGAACCCAGGAGGCGGAGGTTGCGGTGAGCCGAGATCGCGCCATTGCACTCCAGCGTGGGTAACAAGAGCGAAACTCCGTCTCAAAAAAAAAAAAAAAAAAAGAAAAAAGAAATCCATAGTCTGAGGCATCGCCATAGCTCTTCCCTGGGGTAATCTGAAAACGGAGAGATGTGACTCAGCCAGAGGAGAAACCCTAGGTGGCTGGAGCGAGGGCTGCTGGGAGAAGCGGTAGACTTCCCAGTTGTCCCCTGGAGGGTGCGTACACTCACCGCAGCCTCAAAAGCCCTCTTGAGGCTGGCCAGCTCGTAGAGGACACAGCCCAGGGCCCAGATGTCACTCTTCTGGTTATAGGGCTTGCCCTCGCACAGCTCAGGGGAGATGTAGCATGGGGTACCCACCACCTGCAGGAGGGAAGCTGGGATCACAGCCCTGCAGGGAAGAAGACCAGGGGCTCTGCACATGAGCCCATTTGGGGACAGCTTCTTCTCAAGGCAAGCCAAGGGGCTTCCTCCTGCAGGACCACCCAAACGGGGGCCAAAGGGCCAAGGGTTTTTTAGGGAGAGGGGAGGAGGCAGGTTAGGCCCTGGCCCTCAAGACTTCTAGCACCCTGGAGGTCCCCTCCATGCCCAGGCACCGTGTAGGCCTTGCTCTTGCTGCTAAGGATCTTGGAGATGCCGAAATCCCCGATCTTGACGACCATGCGGTGTTTGTCAAGAAGGATGTTCTGGGTCTTGAGGTCTCGGTGCAGGATGAGGTGGGTGTGCACATGATGCAGTGCAAGCAGGATCTGCACAAAGAAGTGCAGGATGGTCTCCTCCTCCAGCAGGGAATTGCAGCGCTTTTGGATGAACTCAGCCAGGGTGCCACCTGCGGCCCAAGGGACTAATCAAGATCCAGGCTTTCTCATACCTAGGACAACCCCTCTCCTTTTATGCATGGAACAGAGCACTGGGACCAGAGAGGACAAGGGGCCAGCCAGGGGCAGATCACTGGGGCCAGAACTCTGACGCTTGTTACAAGGAGGGAAGCCAGGTGATCTATGTCTGCCTGTTCCAGAGGTAAGAGGCCCCTCCAACCAGGCCACTATAAGGAGGCTGGCCCACCTGGTGCATATTCCATGGCAATCATGAGGGCTTTGTCTTCCAGGAAGTTCTCGTAGTACTCAATGACATTGGGGTGGTTGAGCAGCTTGAGGACCTGGCACTCATTCTGGGCTGCCTGCCGCTCGTCCTTGGTCATCTGTTCCACTGGGATCTGCTTGATGATCACCAGCTTCTGGTCAGCCTTTCGTAGGCACAGGTGCACAATCCTAGGGATATGGAGAACAGGGACAGGTACCAGCTGAGCCTCCAGGCACATATCAGGCAGGGCAGGGCAGCCTGGTGACTGATGTCTCTTAGAAGAGGGTTCTAGGCCAGGCACAGTGGCTCACGCCTGTAATCCTACCACTTTGGGAGGCCGAGGCAGGTGGATCATGAGTTCAGGAGTTCAAGACCAACCTAGCCAATATGGTGAAAACCTGTTTCTACTAAAAATATAAAAAATTAGCCAGGTGTGGTGGCATGCAGCTGTTGTCCCAGTTACTTGGGAGGCTGAGGCAGGAGAATTGCTTGAACTCAGGAGGTGGAGGTTGCAGTGGGCTGAGATTGCACCACTGCACTCCAGCCTGGGCGACAGAGTGAGAATTCATCTCAAGAAAAAAGAAGAAGAGGGTTCTAGACTAAGAGATCATCATCTAAACAAGTGCACAGAACGCTGAGCTTAGGAACAGAGAGAACTGATTACAAGCTGTGTGGGACTTCGGTTTCACCACAGGCACAGTGACGTAAAGTTAGTCTTGATCTCTAAGTTCCTGCAGACTGCCTGGGTTCAAATCTGGGCTCCTCCTCTTACTAGCTATCTGGTTTGATGCATTATGTGACATCATTGTCTTGAAAATAAAATGGGCCTCACAGGGTTGTTGAGAGGATCAAATGAGAAAATGCATTAAGGCGCTGAGCGAAGTGGCCAGCACAAAGAAAATGCTCAATGAATAGAAGCTTTTCATATTATTTTATTTCAACTCTGTAGTCAGTGTCCATAAAAGCAGGCACTACAACATTCTGGTTCACCACAATATTCCAGTGCACAGCCCAGTATTTAGCACACAGCCCAGTATTTAGCACACAATAGGTGGTCAATGAGCATTTGCTGAATGAAGTTGAGTATAGCTAATCTAAGTCTCCCATTTCTACCTCTAGCTCAGACTTCTCATCTGTGCCCCAGACTCAGATATCACTTGAATGGCTCACATCATCCTAAATTTTAACAAATTCAAAATAAAACTCTTGATTCCTGCCTCCAGACCTTTCCTGGCTCAGTCTCTTCCATCTTGGTAAATTATACCACAATCCGCCAGTTTTTTTTTTTTTTTTTTTGACCTCTTGAGGTTTGTTTGGTTTTTTATCTTGTTACCCAGGCTGGAGTGCAATGGCGCGATCTCGGCTCACCGCAACCTCCGCCTCCTGGGTTCAGGCAATTCTCCTGCCTCAGCCTCCTGAGTAGCTGGGATTACAAGCACGCGCCACCATGCCCAGCTAATTTTTTGTATTTTTAGTAGAGACGGGGTTTCACCGTGTTGACCAGGATGGTCTCGATCTCTTGACCTCGTGATCCACCCGCCTCGGCCTCCCAAAGTGCTAGGATTACAGGGGTGAGCCACCGCGCCTGGCTTTGCCAGTTATTAAAGTCAGAAACTGCTCAAATCAGAAACCTGAGGCAGGGCCAAGTGGCTCAACACTTTGGAAGGCCAAGGCGTGGATCACTTGAGTCCAGGCATTCAAGATCAGCCTGGGCAACATGGTGAAAACCAGTCTCTCCAAAAAAAAATTAGCTGAGCAGGGTGGCCTCTGTGGTGCCAGCTGCTCTGGAGGCTGAGATGGGAGGATCACTTGAGCCTGGGACATTAAAGCTACAGTTAGCCATGATCACGCCACTGTACTCCAGCCTGGGTGACCAAGTGAGACAGTCTCAAAACAAAACAAAACAACAACAAAAAAAGACACTTGAAAATCACCCTAGGTGGGGAGCAGTGGCTCACACCTGTAATCCCAACACTTTGGGAGGTTGAGGCAGGCAGATCACTTGAGGTCAGGAGTTTGCGATCAGCCTGGCCAACATGGTGAAACCTCATCTCTACCCAAAATACAAAAATTAGCCAGGCATGGTGGCAGGCACCTGTAATCCCAGCTACTTGGGAGGCTGAGGCAGGAGAATTGCTTGAACCTGGGAGTTGGAGGTTGCAGTGAGCCAAGATCGTGCCACTGCACTCCAGCCTGTGTAACAGAGTGAGACGCTGTCTCAAGGAAAAAAAAAAAAAGAAACGAAAAAAGAGGCCAGGCATGGTGGCTCACGCCTGTAATCCCAGCACTTTAGGAGGCCGAGATGGGCGGATCATGAGGTCAGGAGTTTGAGACCAGCCTGGCCAACATTGTGAAACCTCGTCTCTATAAAAAAAAAAAAAGAAAGAAAATAAGCCAGGCGTGGTGGCTCACACCTGTAATCCAAGCACTTTGGAGGCCAAGGCGAGCGGATCACCTGAGGTAGGGATTTCAAGACCAGCCTGACCAACACAGTGAAACCCTGTCTTAAAAAAATAAAAAAAAAAAAGGAGCCGGGCGTGGTGGCTCAAGCCTGTAATCCCAGCACTTTGGGAGGCCAAGGCGGGTGGATCACGAGGTCAAGAGATCGAGACCATCCTGGTCAACACGGTGAAACCCCGTCTCTACTAAAAATACAAAAAATTAGCTGGGCATGGTGGCGCGTGCTTGTAATCCCAGCTACTCAGGAGGCTGAGGCAGGAGAATTGCCTGAACCCAGGAGGCGGAGGTTGCGGTGAGCCGAGATCGCGCCATTGCACTCCAGCCTGGGTAACAAGAGCGAAACTCCATCCCCCCCAAAAAA